TGATACTCCATCTCTACTAAAAATACAAAAAAATTAGCTGGGCATGGTGGTGGGTGCCTGTAGTGCCAGCTACGTGGAAGGCTGAGGCAGGAGAATGGCGTGAACCTGGGAGGCAGAGCTTGCAGTGAACCCAGATTGTGCCACTGCACTCCAGACTGGGCAACAGAGCAAGACTCCGTCTAAAAAAAAAAAAAAAAAAAAAAAAAAAAGACTATTATCCACAAACACAGCATGTTACTTCTTGTGAGTCTTACTGTTCCACAAAATATACAAGTTTAAGAGCCAGAATGGAAATTGCATTTCAACAAATAATTCAGCCAACTTCAATATTCAAGAAAACTGTACAAAAATATGCCACAATATTATTTCTTTTTTAAAAAAATTTATTTATTTATTATTATTATTATACTTTAAGTTCTAGGGTACATGTGCATAACGTGCAGGTTTGTTACATATGTATACTTGTGCCATGTTGGTGTGCTGCACCCATCAACTCATCAGCACCCATCAACTCGTCATTTACATCAGGTATAACTCCCAATGCAATGCCTCTCCCCTCCCCCCTCCCTATGATAGGCCCCGGTGTGTGATGTTCCCCTTCCTGAGTCCAAGTGATCTCATTGTTCAGTTCCCACCTATGAGCGAGAACATGCGCTGTTTGGTTTTCTGTTCTTGTGATAGTTTGCTAAGAATGATGGTTTCCAGCTGCATCCATGTCCCTACGAAGGACACAAACTCATCCTTTTTTATGGCTGCATAGTATTCCACGGTGTATATGTGCCACATTTTCTTAATCCAGTCTGTCACTGATGGACATTTGGGTTGATTCCAAGTCTTTGCTATTGTGAATAGTGCCGCAATAAACATACGTGTGCTTGTGTCTTTATAGTAGCATGATTTATAATCCTTTGGGTATATCCCCAGTAATGGGATGGCTGGGTCATATGGTACATCTAGTTCTAGATCCTTCAGGAATCGTCATACTGTTTTCCATAATGGTTGAACTAGTTTACAATCCCAGCAACAGTGTAAAAGTGTTCCTATTTCTCCACATCCTCTCCAGCACCTGTTGTTTCCTGACTTTTTAACGATCGCCATTCTAATTGGTGTGAGATGGTATCTCATTGTGGTTTTGATTTGCATTTCTCTGATGGCCAGTGATGATGAGCATTTTTTCATGTGTCTGTTGGCTGTATGAATGTCTTCTTTTGAGAAATGCATGGGCAAAGACTTCATGTCTAAAACACCAAAAGCAACGGCAGCAAAAGCCAAAATTGACAAATGGGATCTATTTAAACTAAAGAGCTTCTGCACAGCAAAAGAAACTACCATCAGAGTGAACAAACAACCTACAGAAGGGGAGAAAATTTTTGCAATCTGCTCACCTGACAAAGGGCTAATATCCAGAACCTACAAAGAACTCAAACAAATTTACAAGAAAAAAACAAACAACCCCATCAAAAAGTGGGCAAAGGATATGAACACAATATTATTTCAAACAGAACGGCAAGCCTCTGCTGATGGGACTTCCTCCTTGATGAGGTTGACTGCTCTTCACCAGACAGGGCTCAGGTTTCTGAAATATGATACTTGAGGAAAACTGGACTGAGTCTATGCAATATTGTGTTAGATATTAATTCAAATAAGCTTAAGATATGATTATTAGGCATTTTCTGGGATGTCATTGCCTAAAAACCTGATAATTGCAACACTAAATAATTCTTTACAAGGTTCGTAAACCAATCTGTAACTTTAGGCATAGTAAAACAGTTAAACATGCTGTACTAAAGATTTCATTCTTAAAAAGGATTTACTTCCTTGGCTGACCATTTGCTTGTGAAGCTAAGGAAATATCTTGACAGCCTCACCTGGTTAGAGAGAAGTTTCCTTGGCAAGAGCTGCCTATAAGGCCAAGCCACACATAGGAGAGACTCGCTGAGTGCCCCATTTGGGTTGGGCTTTGAAGCTGGCTTTATACAGGGTCTCAACAATCACGCAGAGAATTTTGGGTTTTATTTACTTGTCAAATAATAAAGCAATAAAAAACACACTTTTGGTTTTGTTTACCTTTCTGTCTTTCTGGTTTATCTTTCATGCCACCAGTAGGATTTTGAGGGTGTTTTTCTTCCTTTGACTGAACCGTTCCCAGGATCACAGCAGCAACCACAGCATTTAGATGAGAAAGCTATATCTTTGATGGATTTTCTTTATGATCACATTTGCTGCTATCCCAGAAGCCTCTGACAAATGTTTCCCTATGTCTCTAGGCTTCATGAACCAATCACTACAGAAGAGGGGATGGGATTAAGTTTTCCCCAGGAGTAAGGGGGAAAGTCACAGCACATATGGGAACAATTAATAAAGGATGAAGAAGAATGGATGGTTGGGCAACCAAACATGACCCCAGACCACAGACCTTAACCTGAAAACAAGTCCTCTCCTGACCCCAGGCAGATTCCTACTCTTAATCTCTCCTCCTCCAGAGACATTCTCAGCTGTGAGTATCTTCAGTGTACCATCTTCTCCTGTAACACCTAATAACAGCTAAAACATTCTAATGTAGTCATATTTTAGGTGTTTTGGAGCAGTGGTTTTCAAAGTTTAAAGGAAAGAGTCACATGAAGATTTATTAAAATTTAGGTGCTGGCGTGACACACTCAGAGGTTCCAATTCAGTGTGTGTGTGTGTGTGTGTGTGTGTGTGTGTGTGTGTGTGTGAGACACAGAGAGACAGAGAAAGACAGACACAGAGAGAGAGAGAGAGACAGAGAGAGGGAGAGAGAGATTGCCTGCAGGTGGAGTGGTTGTCATTTTAACAAGCAACCCAGATGATTTGAATGCAGGTAATCAATGGACCTTGCTGAGAAACATCCAATTTAGAACCCATAAAATGTTAAAATTCTGTGGCCAAAAGAATTTGGAGTTTAAATCACAGCAATCTTTCTATTCATGAAGGTTTAAACATAATTCATCACTCCAGGAAAAAAAAGAGCACGTATGTTTTAGATTTTCCACAGGTTGTTAGGTATTTTCCACAACCCTCTAAGGTAATTAGGGTGAGTGGTATTATTCTGAATTTGCTGATTGGGAGATTGATGCAGGTAAAGGGATTTGCCAAAGGTTATATAACTGCCTGTGCATAAACCCTGCTAGGTCTCGTGACTTTTATACAGAGGTCAAGTAACATGGCATTCCCTCTACCAGTACTAAAGTCAAAAGCATTGGGAAAAGCATGCAGAAAATATAAACACATTTCCTAATCTAATTTTGGATCAAGATTTCCTCATCTCTCCAATTTCCTATCAGCAGGTAACTTTAGGGGAGGCAGTGAACTAAAAAGAATTTAGTCATATTCTACCTTTAAGTTTTTGCCCTGGGGGCCCATTACAGGGAAACTTAACTCTCACAGATATGTTACTGGGGGAAAAAAGAAAAAAAACTTATAGTCCCCTACAGAAATACATTATCACATATTTTCCATAGCTGAGGGTTTGGCTGGCATCAATCAGGATAGACACAATCTGAGTTTTTAACTTACTATAAATCTAAGTTGGAGAAGAGACAAATGGAAAAACAGGGTTCCTTTTAAGATCCCACAAATGAGGCATAGTTTCAAGAGAGGAAGGATGTGGATGGCTTCTTTGATTTCAGAAACTTCAACTGGAACTTCCTAAGTTGTCTGGTTGGGTTTAACGTACCAATCATGAGGTTCTTTACAGAAGATAAAGACTCGTTAATAGTGAAGAATTCTAATTCTACAGTCCATCCTTTCCTTTACCATCGAGAGCAAACCTGCATTCTCCCCCATGAGAAAAACTCCAAATATCAACAAAACAAAGAATTCTTTAATCAAATTAGTAAAAGAGACCCCCAGCAGAAACAGTGCATCTTTTTGAAGGTTAAATATGTTATGAACCAGGCACAGTGGCTCACGCCTGTAATCCCAGGACCTTGGGAGGCCAAGGCGGGTGGATCTCTTGAGGACAGGAGTTTGAGAACAGCCTGGCCAATATGGTGAAACTCCATCTCTACTAAAAATACAAAAATTAGCTGGGTGTAGTGGCGAGCACCTTTAACCCCAACTACTTGGGAGGCTGAGGCAGGAGAATCACTTGTACCTGGGAGGCGGAGGTTACAGTGAGCCGAGATCACACCACTGCATTCCAGCCTGGGCAACAAGAATGAAACTCTATCTCAAAAAAAAAAAAAGTTATGAATAGATAAAACGTTTTGTGTTTCAAATCTCTCTGGCTTCTGGGTGAAAAATGCCATTTGCTATTACACAGTAGTTTAATTGTAGAGCATCAGATAACCATGTTCATTTGCCAAAAACCTACTGTTTAGTGAACTACAAAAAATGGTTTATAAAAATCACCAGAAGCTGGCCGGGCATGGTAGCACATGCATGTAATCCCAGCACTTTGGGAGGCCAAGATTGGTGGCTCACCTGACGTCAGGAGTTTGAGATCAGCCTAACATGGTGAAACCCTGTCTCTATTAAATAAAAACAATTACCCAAGTGTGGTGGTGCATGCCTATAATCCCACCTACTTGGGAGGCTGAGGCAGGAGAATCATTAGAACCCGGGAGGCAGAGGTTGCAGTAAGCCGAGATTGCGCCATTGCACTCCAGCCTAGGCAACAAGAGTAAAACTCATTCTCAAGAAAAAAAAGAAAAATCACCAGAAGCATTATCCAAATGGTAATTTTAAAAGCATGGTGGCTAACACTTGAAATCCCAGCACTTTGGGAGGCTGAGGCTGGTGGATCACCTGAGGTCAGGAATTTGAGACCAGCCTAGCCAACACGGTGAAACACCAAACACTATCTCTACTAAAAATACAAAATTAGCCAGGCATGGTGGTGCACATCTGTAATCCCAGCTACTCCAGAGGCTGAGGTGGGAGAATTGCTTAGAACCTGGAAGGTGGAGGTTGCAGTGAGCCTAGATCTTGCCACTGCATGCCACTCTAGCCTGGGCAACAGAGGGAGACTCTGTGGGAAAAAAAAAAAAAGGCAGTCTTTTTGATAGCAGAGTTGCGCAGCGGAAGGGTGCTGGGCCTATAAATTAGCAATTTTTTCCTGGAATACCCTTCACTTCTGAGTATTCGCCAACCTAGAAACCTAGACAAATGGGCTTAGTTTGCCAGTCACAAACCAAGTGACCCATCCTGTCAGCTGTCACTATCCTCTAATTTAGAAAATTGTCTGTGGCAATCAGCTGTGGCCCTGTTTATTGTCCAGTACCAAAAAATTCCCCTTCCCAAAATAAAATATTTACCATAGCAGATCAACCCTGAACCAGAAGGAAGAGAGCACAAAACAGATATTCTAAGCCCCAATACCTTACCAAAGGATTGTTGTCTCGTAGCGGACACTTTGTTTTGTGGGGCCCAATCATGCTGCTTTAAAATAGAATTGCTTTCTTTAAACACACAAAGTTTCTTTGTTGCAAATGCTCATTTTGCTACACAACAATCTTTTGGGTTTATTCAATCCCCTAATTTCCTCTATTGTCTGAATTTGGAAAAGAACTGAAAAGCACTTTAGACATTTGTCCTCTTTTCTTACAAAAAGCAAAAATGCATTAGAGGGCAAGCATGCCCACTCCTGTAGGACAGGTCCATCCCCCTCAGCACCCTCAGTGGAAGTCCTCTGCACCCTGGGATATTAGCCAATTGAGACACCAGGTGAAAAGGCAAGCAACACTACTCGTGGCTACCTCACAAGAAACAGCTGGACACGGTCTAGACTTGGGTCAACCCGGGGGGTTTTGTTTACTTCTGCAGAGTAAGTGAGGCAGATATAGCAGACAGCTATGCCATGCACAGTCCTGCCCTTAAAATATGTATTCCTGGGTGGGAAACACCAATTAAAGTCTGAACCACTGTTCTTCCCTTTCCACCTGGGTTCTGTGTCCCAGGATGAACATCCTCCTTTAAACGTGGGTGGAAACACCAGTGCAAACATCAATCTACTCTGTGCACATCCCTTGCAAACAGCTGCCCCAACAGATTAGAAGTGGGAAGACTGACTGTGTGCATCACAGCTTTTCACTCTGTGCAGAGGAACACACCCAGCGAGGGAGGGCCAGTGCAGAGGTTCCTAAAGCACAGGACCCAGCAGCCTGTTTTGGGGGTCTAAGGATAGGAACACTGTGGGCAGCCCCAGGGTGGGGTCTTTGGGATGAACCTGGAGACCTGAGCTTGCACAGCTTCCTTGGTAAATTGAGGTGTTGGGGACCACAAGATTGCCAGGCTCCTTTCTATCCAAACGATACTGTGAGATTCCATGATCCAGTTTGTCACTGTTGATGGCTCAATCTCATGCACTAGAAAAAGGTAATATTAAAGAAAAAAATAAAAAGACATTCAGGTTAGTACAAAGACCTTTAAGCTCAGCCTCTAGTTCAAAGAGATGAACAATGAGAGATGCTGGTTCACAGAGCTGTTACATTTAACTTCCATAAGTGACTCAGCAGAGGATAACTACTAATCAGAGTACAACATCAAAACTGTAACCAATATAATCACTGGATTAAGAACAACTCAAAATAGCTCCAGTTTCCAAAGGGCCATAAACTGTACATATCAGTACCATGTGCAATTAACACATAATTTATTATGAAAATGTAGACATACAAGGCAAGTAAGGGGATTTAGGTTGACTTTTTATAACACTTTAAATTTAAAATCTCATTTCTGTGGACTGGATGACATCTTCTAGGTGCTTTAATTTGGTTTACCTCCTGATAAATCCTAATAGAAACAGGTAGCACCAGCTTCTACTGAACATCAATACAGTTGTAAAACACAGTGAGCCTGCTTGCCTACACATGGAGAAACATTGTTTTCACAAGACACAGAAGGCAAACTCCCAATCAGGCATACTGACCTGTCCTCTCATATTTGGGGCAATGAGAATGGTGGACCAGATGGTTGAGTAGATGCCAAAGAATACCAGACAGGTCAGCATACTCCCCCAGACAGCCAGATGACTGAACTGCAGAGGAAAACAGTCACTCAAACCGGGCTTCTCGACTGGTCCGGCAGATTCAACCGAACTCTACCTGCTACAGAATCCCTGCTTCCAAGCTACCTCTCCTTATGGAAAGATTCTCATGACTCATAGCTTACTGGGGAGGTCAATCTTCCAAATTCCCTTGTCTCGGAATTTTTAACAATGACTTCAAGTAATGAGTGTCCCCAAAGTACTCTGAAGGTGAACATGCTTTTGCTGTCATGGCTGACCTTCCTCTAAAATTTTTTGCATAGTGACAGCGGGCCTCTCTCAGTTCATGGCAAGTGTTTGCTCCATCCTAAGGCTTTTTACAACAAGGATTCATTAATCTGGTAAAAGAGTGGCTGAACGGACAATCAATAAGATGTTTTTATTGACCATTTTGGGACTTCAATCATTTTGTTCATTTTGCAAAGACTTTGTTGTTGTTGTTGTTTAATCTGAAATGGATATTGCCTCTTAACAGTGTTTCTTTAAGCATCTACTGAGTTGTTCATTTTTCCTCCTTTGTCCTCTTAATATGATGATCCTTAATTTCTTTCTTTCTTCCACAACTCACAATCTAATCCATGTGCAAGTTCTGTTAGCTTTTAAAAAGATACAATAAATTCAGACTCTGACCACTTCTCACTGCCTTCTCCTCTAACATTCCAGGCTAAAGACATCATTACATTTAACCTGGATTAATTGCCACTGTCTCTTAGGGCAGGGGGCCCCAACCCACAACACAGGCCATGGACTGGTACCAGACCATGGCCTGTTAGGAACCAGGCTACACAACAGGAGGTGTGCAATAGGTGAGCAAGCAAAGCTACATCTGTATTTACAGCCATTCTCTATCACTGGATTCCCACCGGAAGCTCTGCCTCCTGTCAGATCAGCAGCAGCATTAGATTCTCATAGGAGCATGAACCCTATTGAGAACTGTACATGCAAAGGACCCAGGTTGATTGCTCCTTCTGAAAATGTAATGCATCATGACCTCTCACTGTCTCCCATCACCCCCAGATGGTATTGTCTAGTTGCAGGAAAACAAGCTCAGGACTCCCACTGATTCTGTATTATGGCGAGTTGTATAATTATTTTCTTATATATTATGATGTAATATATAATAGAAATAAAGTGCATAATAAACGTAATGTTCTTGGATCAACCTGAAACCAGATCCTAGTAGACTCATGGAAGTCCCCTTGTCCATAGAATAATTGTCTTCCATGGAATAATTGTCTTCCATGAAACCAGTCCCTGGTGCCAAAAAGTTGGGAACTGCTATCTTAGGAGATTACCTATTCCACATTGACTTATCACCTCATACTCATTTTTTTTTTTTTTTTTTTTTTTTTTAGCAGAGCATTTAAACGTCAGGCAGGTCATGACACTTCATGAGAGACATGCATAAAGATTTAGTTGGCCGGGCACAGTGGCTCACGCCTGTAATCCCAGCACTTTGGGAGGCCGAGGCGGGCGGATCACAAGGTCAGGAGATCGAGACCACGGTGAAACCCCGTCTCTACTAAAAATACAAAAAATGAGCTGGGCGCGGTGGCGGGCGCCTGTAGTCCCAGCTACTTGGGAGGCTGAGGCAGGAGAATGGTGTGAACCCAGGAGGCGGAGCTTGCAGTGAGCCAGAATCGCGCCACTGCACTCCAGCTTGGGCGACAGAGCGAGACTCCATCTCAAAAAAAAAAAAAAAAAAAAAGATTTAGTTATAATCTTTAAATGCTGGAATAATGAAAATGTCTAAAATAGGAAACTGCTGAAATAAATGACAGAACATCTATAAAACTTAATACTCTTTAGTCATAAACAATAATTTTGTTAAATTACATTTTAAGGCATAGAAATTGCGTCTAATATTTTTTGATAACAAAGACTTGTGTTCTTTAATGCATCATCCTATTTAAAAATACACACAAACACAGACATAGAACAATGTCTGGAAGGATCCCCAGCAAAGCATTACTAGTGACTGCCTCTTGATGATAAAATTACGGAAATTAATTTTTTTAAGTCTTTCTTTATTTTCTATATATGTGTGTATGTATATGGTTTTTGTTTTTACAATGAGGCTTTATATTTGAAATGAGATGACTGTTGTTAGCTTAGAGGTGTATTAGGTGCCAAGCAAATAAATCACCAAGAGAATTTGGATTGCAAATTTGCTCCAGTAAAGATCAATCCACAATTTTCATGTACCAAATTTGAAATAAGATAGCCAGATGTTGTTTATTGTTTCCCCTAGGCTTAATACTAAATCATAGCATGAAGATGTCTATACTGAATAGAGAAACAATTCTGGACAAAACTTACTTTAGCCCAAGCTGTAGTCTCAAAACCAGCTTTCTGATAATCAGTAACAAGAACATACTGTGGAAAAACAGAAGAGTTTGAAGAAACCTTATTTTCAGAGGGTTATTTTCACTTTCCATGAGAAATCCCATGTCTCCACTCCAGAGCTACTTTCACCAAGGCAGCTTGAGTTTGAAAATATAGCCATCTCAGTAGCTAATTCGCTAGGGGTTGTTTTTAGGGAACATATAAGCAGATTCACTTCCAGAAGAACTCTCAATCTAGTGATGGACCTTCTCATTAATAGTAGAGAAAGACTTTTTCTTAGCTTGGATGATTTGGGAGACATCACCTTTCTGATTGCTGTTCTCCTTTGCAGGTAGATGTGAAATGGTCGTTTGAAGAACGGGGAAATCTGCTAATCACCTGTCAAGAAACTTCATATAACCTTCAAAAACAATAATGTAAGCATTTCATAACCATCCAGGCCTTTAAAGGATCTATCAAATACATTTTGATGATATAAAATAAAGAATAATAACAAGGAAGGTCATATATAAAAGGTTTAAAAGAGGACAAGACACACATGAGCTGTTTAAGAATGGCTCAGTAAATAGAGACAAACTTACTGTGTGAACAATATTTCCGACAAATAAATAGGTGGTGGCATGACCACTGGTCGACACAATATCTGAAAAAGAAAGAGGCTACTATTAACTTCCTAGATCCTGAGCATGGCCACCTATTTTATTCAGAATATTAAACATGGAACTTTAGGAACATCTATAAACTCACAGGGACATTCCAAAATCACAATCTCTGTGATTCTAATGCCTAATTCTGTTTATAGTGCTAAAGTTTTTCATCTTATAGTCTCTCTAAATGAAGCAAACAAAGTCACGCTTTCAACAAAACAACAAACACACACTTGATCTGCATTGGAATTTACATTTTTATGAAGATTAAAATTTCTTTTTATCCAGTTTTTTATGAGAAAGGAATAAGAAATTATTAACCTATTTTTATAAAACGCCAACATTGAACCTTCTTCCAAGTGTTCATTTATGACTCATCTTTAAATTTTTGCTAAATTTGAATTATGGATCAACATGAAGATAACTATATGAATGTAAAATCAATTTATAATGGCTGAGTTCTGAAATAATTGGGGGGAATATTTAAAACTTTCACATTTAGCTTTATGACCCACCTACGATTGACCTTTGTTTATGGTGTAAGCTAGGGTTCAAATTATTTTACTTACCCATATTGATATCCAAATGATCTACTACCATTTATTGAAAATATTACTGTGTTTCCTCACTACACTGCAATTTCACCTTTGTCATAAATCATGAGATGGTATAAATATGAGTTTGTTTCTGGTTTCTCTATTTGTATGTCCTTCTGCAAATACTATCTTATTTTACTTGTAATAAAGATTAAAATATCTGATGATATACATTATTGAGCTCTGTTCTTCTTCAGAACTTTCTTGGTTCTTCTTGGCCTTTTGAGTTTTCAAATAAATTTAAAATTAGCTTGTCAATTTTCAAATTACCTGATAGGATTTTGAATAGGATTGCATTCAACCACAATTTAATAAGTAGAAATGGTTTATTTACAATATAGAATCTTTCTGTTCATAAGCATTTTGTATCTTTTTTATGTATATGATATTTATATCCTTTTTTTAAAAATTTTACTTTAAGTTCTGGGATACATGTGCAGAATGTGCAGGTTTGTTACATAGGTATACATGTGCCATGATGGTTTGCTGCACCTATCAACCCGTCATCTGTCTTTTAAGCCCCACATACATTAGGTATTTGTCGTAATCCTCTCCCTCCCTTTCCCCTCCAACCTCTGACAAGCCATGGTGTGTGATGTTCCCCTCCCTGTGTCCATGTGTTCTCATTGTTCAACTCCCATTTATGAGTGATAATATACAGTGCTTGGTTTTCTGTTCCTGTGTTTGTTTGCTGAGAATGGTGACTTCCAGTTTCATCCATGTCCCTGTAAAAGACATGAACTCATTCTTTTTTATGGCTGTATAGTATTCCATGGTGTGCATTGATTTGTACATGTACAAATTAGAACTCAGGATTAAGAAACTTGTTCAAAACCACACAATTTTATGGAAATTGAACAACCTGCTCCTGAGTGATTACTGGGTAAATAACGAAATTAAGGCAGCAATAACGAAGTTCTTTGAAACCAATGAGAACAAAGAGACAATGTACCAGAATCTCTGGGACACAGCTAAAGCACGTTAAGAGGGAAATTTACAGTACTAAATGCACACAGCAGAAAGTGAGAAAGATCTAAATTCAACATCCTAACATCACAATTAAAAGAACCAGACAAGCAAGAGCAAACATGCAAAAGCTAGCAGAAGACAAGAGATAACTAAGATCAGAGTAGAACTGAAAGAGATAGAGACACAAAAAATCCTTCAAAAAAAATAAATGAATCCAGGAGCTGGGTTTTCTGAAAAGATTCACAAAATAGATGGACCACTAACTAGACTGATAAAGAAGAAAAGAGAGAAGAATTAAATAGACACAATAAAAAATGAAAAAGGGGTATTATCACTGATCCCACAGAAATATTAACTACCATCAGAGAATACTATAAACACCTCTATGCAACTAAACTAGAAAACATAGAAGAAGTGGATGAATTCCTGGACACATACACCCTTCCATGATGAAACCAGGAAGAAGCTAAATCCCTGAATAGACTCATAACATGTTCTAAAATACAGCCAGAATCTAATAGTCTACCAACCAAAGAAAAGCCCAGGACCAGATGGATTCATAGCTGAATTCTACTGGAGGCATAAAAAGGAGCTGGTACCATTCCTTTTGAAATTATTCCAAAGAATAGCAAAAGAGGGACTCCTCCCTAACTCATTTTATGAGACCAGCATCATCCTGATACCAAAGCCTGCCAGAGACACAACAAAAAAAGAAAATTTCAGGCCAATATCCCTGATGAACATCGATGTGAAAATCCTCAATAAAAGACTGGCAAAACAAATCCAGCAAAACATCCAAAAGTTTACCCACCACGTGCAATAATTTTTTTAAAAGGCATGCTTTAATAAAGAAACACTTCCATTCAGCCAGGAGACATCTTTTTGAGTCTAACATAGATTATGGCCTTAAAATGAATAAGATTCTTCTATTATGTACTCAATAATGTTAATGTACAGCCTATTTTATGTTGGGTACTATTATGGGAACTGGAGAGAGAAGGTCTGTCTTTATGGAACTTGCAGTGTAGTGACAGAGATAGAACATACATTCATAAACACTTCCACACTAAAATGATGGGTATAATATGGGCTATGAAGAAATATATTAGCCAAGTGTGGTGGTGCTCACCTGTCCCAGCTACTTGGGAGGCTGAGGAAGGAGGACTGCTTGAGCCCCAGAGTTTGAGGCTGCAGTGATCCATGATTGTGCTACTGTACTCCAACCTTGGTGACAGAGTGAGACCCTGTCTAAATAAAAAAGCATAATAACAAAAAGAAACATAAGATAGGGTAATCACATTCAGGGTGACAGGGACTGCTACTTTATATAGGGAGCTCTGAAACAATGTTTTTGAGGAGGTGACACTTGAGCAGGTCAGAATGGTATGACAGAGTGAGTTAAGTGAATGTCTAGAAGGCATAGAGAAGATACACTCTGCAGAGTTTGAATACAGACACAACTTGATGGGCTCAAAGATCACTGCAATGACCAGTCAGACTGCAGGCACTGGGAGGAGGAAAGGAGAATGTACACAGTCTGAGGAGCAGATAAACACAGACTACGGTAAAGAGCTTGGATTTCTTTGTTAATTGTGATAGGTAACCACTGGAGGATTCAGAGCTGGGAATGAAATGGTATAAGGTACGTTCTTACAGGAATAGTCCAGCTTTTATGGGAGAATAAATCATAAATTACCATAAATAGAATAATAATAAATGCAAAGTCAGCTTAGACATGCTTATATCTGTCCAGGGGTTGATATTGGTGGTGTTAAAACTGTGAGGTCGGAGGCAGTTCCAAGATGGCTGACTAGGAACAGCTCCAGGCTATAACACCCAGCGTGAGTGACACAGAAGACAGGTAATTTCTACATTTCCAACTGAGGTACTGGGTTAATCTCACTGGGGTAGGTTGGACAGTGGTTGCAGGACAGTGGGTGAAGCCCACTGAGCGAGAGTTGAAGCAGGGTGAGGCGTTGCCTCACTTGGGAAGCGCAAGGGGTAGGGGAATTCCCTTTCCCAGCCAAGGGAAACCGTGACACACAGCACCTGGAAAATCAGGTCACTCCACCCTAATACTGCACTTTTCCAAGGGTCTTAACAAATGACACACCAGGAGATTGTATCCCAAGCCTGGCTCAGAGGGTCCCACGCACACAGGGCTTCCCTCATTGCTAGCACAGCAGTCTGAGATCTAACTGCAAGCGGCAGCAAGTCTGGGAGAGGGGCACCCACCATTGCTGAGGCTTGAGTAGGTAAACAAAGTAGACAGGAAGTACGAACTGGGTGTAGCCCACCACAACTCAAGGAGGTCTGCCTGCCTCTGTAGACTTCACCTCTGGGGACAGGGTGTAGCCAAACAAAAGAAACCTCTGCAGATGTAAATGTCCCTGTCTGACAGCTTTGAATAGAGTAGTGGTTTTCCCAGCATGGAGTTTGAGATCTGAGAACAGACAGACTGTCTGCTCAAGTAGGTCCCTGACCCCTGACTAGCCTACCTGGGAGACATCCCCCACTAGGGGCAGATTGACACCTCACACCTCACATGGCCGGGTACACCTCTGACATGAAGCTTCCAGATGAACAATCAAACAGCAACATTTGCTTGTCAGCAATATTCACTCTTCTGCAGCCTCCACTGCTGATACCCAGGCAAACAGGGTCTGGAGTGAACCTCCAGCAAACTCCAACAGACCTGCAGCTGAGGGTCCTGACTGTTAGAAGGAAAAATAAAAAACAGAAAAGACATCCACACCAAAACCCCATCTGTATGTCACCATCATCAAAGACGAAAGGTAGATAAAACAACAAATATGGGGAAAAAACAGAGCAAAAAAGCTGAAAACTCTAAAAATCAGAGTGCCTCTCCCGCTCCAAAGGAACAGAGCTCCTCGCCAGCAACAGCACAAAGCTGGATGGAGAATGACTTTGACGAGTTGAGAGAAGAAGGCTTCAGACAATCAAACTTCTCCAAGCTAAAGGAGGAAGTTCTAACCCATTGCAAAGAAGCTAAAAACTTTCAAAAAGATTAGAGAAATAGCTAACTAGAACAACCAATGTAGAGAAGTTCTTAAATGACCTGATAGAGCTGAAAATCATGGCATGAGAACTACGCGACAGATGCACAAGCTTCAGTAACTGATTCGATCAACTGGAAGAAAGGGTATCAGTGAATTGAGGATCAAATGAATGAAATGAAGCAGGAAGAGAAGTTTAGAGAAAAAAGAGTAAAATGAAATGAACAAAGCCTCTGAGAAATACGAGACTATGTGAAAAGACCAAACCTACCTCTGATTGGTGTACCTGAAAGTGACAGGGAGAATGGAACCAAGTTGGAAACACTCTGCAGGATATTATCTAGGAGAATTTCCCCAAACTAGCAAGGCAGGTCAACATTCATATTCAGGAAATACAGACAATGCCACAAAGAT